AATAGAATTTGTCATCAAGTTGACTCTCGCATTCAGCCAGTGTCAAACTCAGTAGTTGATGTTTTGCTTATGTAAAAATCTCAGAGAAGAAAGAAAAGATCTAATTTGACAGTTTCTCTCCAAATGTCATTCCTGCCACTCGGTTTCCAGAATGTGATGAGAAGCTGATGCAGCTTTGACTGCAAAGGGAGACCCAAGGAGGTGCCATCTGGGGGACTCTCTGTCTGTGCCCAGCCTGGGAGATTCACATAAGTCTCCTCTCCTAGATGAGGGTGTCGCATTGCATCTGCCTCTGCTTAGAAGCCCACAAAGATTGTTTGCTGTCCTAGTACCACAGGTCCTGATGAAAGAAGGCCTAGATGTGTTCTTTAGTGGCATCCCTTGGCCTTGGATGTGGTTTTGCAACCTTTCACTATTCCAGGTTGGATATTAGCACTGCCACCAATCTCTGGGTGAAATAGAAACCCTCTCATGCATGTTCTGCTGAACTTCCTCATTGGCTGGCCCTGTGCTGTGGTGTCTTTCTTTCCAGGTCGGTGATGGCAAGATACAGTCTACAGCAGGGTTGTCCACGTTGTGGGCATGTCTGGAGTGCACAGCCTTGGGAGCCACCAGTCACACAGTGTCACTGTTGATTTGAATATGTATTATGGTCATTTTATGGAGATGGTAGTAAAGTGTCTAGAGGAAGAGATACTTTCTTCTGGTTTGCATTAAATATGAAGTAGCCATGATGGCCAACTTCAAGGCTGGAAGCAACATTCAACACTCAATCTCAGTTTCATCATCTGTAAAATTGGAATAATAGTAGTATCCTATAGGTTGTTAAGATTAAAGCATTTATGCATGCCAAGCCTGAGCACAGAGCTTGACACAGTGAGTGCTTGGTACTCAACAGCTCTCATAATTTGGCCCATATACATCCTTCCACATAGACTAATCTCTTCCCAGTTGCGTTCCATTCAGGCTCTCTTAACATCAAATAACTTCAAGTTCATTACTATAAGGCCTATTATAGGGCACTCCTGATCTGTGATGTGAATCCTAAGAAGTATTCCTTTACCAGTCTCCTGCACAGAGTTAGACAGCTGTGTCAGGTGGCACAGTATCTACGCCCAGCCACACATATTAACATGACTCTGAAGAGCCTGCCTCCCACAGAACCTAGAGCAGGAGGTACGGGGACTCCATTAATGGACAAGAGAGACGTATAAAGAAGGAAAGATCAGCACTTGCTGTTAGACTTTACAGATGAGGTATCATCCCTGACAATTCCACCACTGTTTCAGCGTCGATTATTAGAAGAAAGAAGCTCTAAGCGCGCCAAGCTTCAGCAGACTAAAGATGATGGCCACAGGGGTAGGGACCAGGAGGCTTATCTGAGCACCACCTGGTACTTTATCGGTGTTTCAGGCCAGGGCTGATTGCAGTATCGACTGGTGGCGGGAGAGGGGTCAGTGATCTTATCATTCTCGTGTGACACTTTCATTTGTGATAGGCTTCACCTGCACTTTTTCTAATATGTTGCACACTAATGTAATTTCTGTCAGTTGTCAGGCCATGATGTCATCTAGACCCTGAAATTGTGTTCTTGAATTCATTGTCAAACCCTTATGAGCTAAACCTGTTTTATTTCTCTACATCTGTAAATATGTTGATTCTCCATCTATAAATGTGTATTATGAATGGCCCTTTGGCTGTTGTAACACCTTCACTGAAATTCACTGAGATTCTTGAGGTAGCGGTGTGTGTGTGTGCACATGTGTCTCTCTCTCCCCCTTTCTCCTCCCCTTCCTTATTCCTTGCCACCCCTTCCCTACCTCCTCAATTTCTTTCTCTCTTTCCTAAGTAAGAAAATGGTGACCAGGCACAGTAACTCACACCTGTAATCCCAGCACTTTGGGAAACCGAGGTGCAAGGATCTCATGAGCTCAGGAGTTTGACACCAACCTGGGAAACATAGCGAGACCCTGTCTTTACAAAAATAAAAATTAAAAGAAAAATGGCAATTTCCTTCATTATACAAGGGACTTTATGTCACAGAAAGGAACCGCTGTCAGCATGAGCAACCTGGCACCTGGTGGGTGTCTGCCTTGTTACCAGCAAGGCATATAAGACAGGTTTTCTCCACTCCATCCGCTTCCCACTCAACCCCAGCAACAAAAGCGTGATGGCACTCACTTGAGAAAATGTCACATGTAGGTGACTTTCACAAAGTAAGGATGCTCATGATTCCAGTGTTTACATCATAGCTGTGTGCCTGCAGAAAGGCTGGGGGTGCCAGGTAAGGAGGGTCTTGATTGTTCCCTCTGAACAGAATTAAGTGACAACACTTAGGGGCGGGAGCAGCGTGGGGTGGAGGGCCTAAGGTAGTGGACCCTCACTTGACTGTCACCAGACACTGAAGAGTAGTCACTGATGTGGAATCCGAATCTGAACTTGAACTACCACAAATGCCACTGTCGTCACTGTAACTGCTATTTTCTGTCTGTGCCATCTTACGCTCTGTAACCAAGATTGTTAGTTTTGTTTTTTGTTTTCTATCCTGTATACTTTGTTTTATGCAGTACTTATGCTCCTGAAATACTGTGAATAAACTGTGGTTTTAAATAACATTAAATTCATCTGAATACAGGAAGTATAAAGAAAACAAAAAGGCCCAATATCCCATCAGCTAGATAACCCTGTTAAAACTTTTAGAAAATAAAAGCATTTTTATGGCTGACATGGTTAGAGTATGTATGTGTGCACAGTACCAAGGTGTCCATGGTACAAATAGTACAATTAGTAGAAGGTGTGAATTGAAAAGCGCCCCATTTCCCTCCCCCCACCCCAGCATTATGAGTCTGTGCAGACAGCATACAAAGTACTGTGATAAGCATACAGTTGTGAATGGGGCGTCTCCCTGGCCCTAAAAGGGACGTTAGTCTAATGGGTGACAGAATCATAAGGCGTGTAAATGGAGTGACATGTCACACACTTTCGGACAGTCAGTTGACAGCTGGGCTGCTGAGATCTCAGATAGACATGCCCTCCCCTGCAGAGCCAGCTCCCTGTTGTCATTTCTCCACCTCTAATGACCCACGTGGTGCTCTTCACCCAACTCAGGTCTCTTCACCCAACTAATGAGTTTATAAAATGGGTGTGATCCAGGTGTTGTGGCTCGCTCCTGTAATCCCAGCACTTTGGGAGGCCAGAGTGGGAGGATCGCTTAAGCCCAGGAGACCAGCTTGGGAAACATATCAAGACCCCCAACTCTATAAGAAATAGAAAAATCAGCCAGGTATGGTGGCACTTGCCCTAGTTCCAGCTACTTTGGAGGTAGAGGAGAGAGGATTGCCTGAGCCCAGGAGGTTGAGGCTGTGGTGAGCCGTGATTGTGCTATAGCCCTTCAGCCTGGACAACAGAGTGAGCCCCTGACTTAAAAAAAAAAAAAAAATTAATTAATTTAAAAAATAAAATAAAGGTCAACATTTTGCTTTGATAATCCATGAGATTAGTCTTTTTTCTTTTTCACAGGCCTTTCATATTAGAGACATCTTGTGTGTTTCTATTTCTAGTCAAGGCAGTTTTGAGTTAAATAAGCTTTAAGATAAAATTTTAAAGAGAACTACCATAACTGCATATGCTAGTGATTCTCCTGCTCTTGCTAGTGACCTGAACTTATTCTTTATGTCTCTTTAAGAACTCAGTCTTTCTTGTCCTATGAAGGCTAAGGAGCTATTTAGATACAGTTTATAGTCTTGTTATGGAATACACCCTTAATGAGGAAGGAAATGTCGATGAAGACTAATTAATGATAATTTCAACAAGGACTGGAGTTAGCAGTTTGAGGTGAGAGATCAGCGGGTGGTACATTTCACAGGTATTTGCATACCAAGAGGGACACTGTCAGAGGGAAGGGGAGCAGAGGGCAGCTGACCAGGCAGGCTCCAGCCAGACCTGCCTATTCATCCGCATTTCAGAAGAATTTGAGGAGAGTTGTCTTTCCATCTTCTGTTGGATCCAGTGAGCAGCTTTCAGTCTTGCTTCCATCCAACTTTGGCCGCCCCAACCTCCAGCCTGCTCCTCCCATCCACCTAGACCTCAGCTCTGTCATCACCATAGGTTTTTCTTTTCTTGGCTTTTTTTTTTTTTTGAGTCAGGGTCTCACTCTGTCACCCAGATTGGAATGTGCAGTGGTGCAATCCCAGCTCACTGCAGCCTCAACTTCCTGGGCTCAGGTGATCCTTCTGCCTCTGTCTCCTAAGTAGCTGGTACTACAGGTGTGCACCACCACATGCAGCTAATTTTTTAAAAAAACTTTTTGTAGAGACAGAGTCTTGCTATGTTGTCTAGGCTGGTTTTGAAATTCTGGACACAAGCAATCCTTCTGCTTTGGCCTCTCAAAGTGCTGGGATTACGGGTGCCAGGCACCACGCCTAGCCACCATAGGTCTTTCTGCTTCTACCTTTATGGTCTGTCCCTTCACACTCTGGGTCTACCCTGATTTTGGCCCCCCATCTTTGCTGTCAGTCTGTGTCACCAAGGTTGTACGGGACGCAGCTGTTGGCATCTGCTTTCCTGACTCTTCGGGCCCTCAGCCGAGGAGCCCCCCTCAACAGCAGAGCTCCCCTCACCGCATCCCCCTGCCTCCAAGTGGGACTTTACAGAAATTCAGCACCAAGGAGAAGCTTCCCATGGGGATCAGTTGTCTGAAGCTTCAAACTGATTTTTATTCTCTCCTAATCCTTTTAAATATGATATGTATAAATTAAGAGCAGTAGAGACAAAGCGATTTAGGAAAATGATCATGTTATCTGAGGCTGTTTCAGTGACACTCTAACATGAGTAAGAAGTGGACTGTTGGAATTGATGCGTGTCAATTGCAGTGAACGGCTGTCCTTCCAGAGTGGCTGGAGTCAGATGCTCACCCAGCAGAGGCAGTTTCACTGACTGTAAGACCCAGTAACCAAGAGGCATCACTAACCTCCTGCGTGGCCTCTCTCTCTGTTTTTCAGGTACAACCTGTCTGATCGCCCTACTCTCAGATAAAGACCTCACTGTGGCCAACGTGGGTGACTCGCGTGGGGTCCTGTGTGACAAAGATGGGAATGCCATTCCTCTGTCCCATGATCACAAGCCTTACCAGCTGAAGGAAAGGAAGAGGATAAAGAGAGCTGGTGAGCTTGCAGCGCCTCCGAGGATCATCGCATCTTGGTGGCGGGCAAGGCGGCTTGCTGGGAGAGCTGGTGGGGGATGCATGTTCTGCCCCCTGTGGTGAGGCCCATACACAGACTGCTGCCGAGGGCTCTGAAACTGACTCTGTAATGTTGCCTATCAAGTAAATGGCCACTGAGTTTGCCCTTCTTCATGGCCAATGATTCTGAAAGGGCCAAGAAAGCCCCTTTCCAATTTAAAGGCTAATAAGATCCCTGGGCCTTGGTTCCTGGTGCCTTCTCTTGCCATTCCCTGCCTCCCTCCAGCCATGCCATGCTAGCGACCATTCCCCAGAAAACCTTGTTTCTGTCAGGTGCTGTGGTTCATGTCTGTAAACCCAACACTTTGGAAGGCTAAGGTGGGAGGATCACTTGAGCCCGGAATTTGAGACCAGCCTAGGCAATATAGAGAGTCCTCATCTCTAAAAAAAATTAGCTGGACATAGTGGCACACACCTGTAGTCCCAGGTACTTGGGAGGCTGAGACAGAAGGATTGCCTGAGCTCAGGAGGTTGAGGCTGCGGTGAGCCCTGATCCATTGCATTCCAGCCTGGGCGACAGAGTGAGACCCTGACTCAAAAAAAGAACCTTGTTCCTGATACCTCTGTGCCTTTGCTGTTCCCATTGTCCAGTGGGTGAGAATCACTTGTCCTGCAAGATTCAGTTGAAAGTGTCCTTTTGGAAGCCTTCCCTGTCATACTGTGACAAAAGCCCTGCAAGCTTAAAGTTGATGTCCTTCTGCCTTTCTCCAATACCCAATGGGGACTTCTCGGGTCACCTGTCACAGTACATGGACATACCTAACTCTCTCATCTGTCTTGCCTTCCTGACTGTCACCTCTCTGTGGGCAGGAGTTTGGTCTTATTCATCTCCATATCCCAGCACCAAGCCCAGTGTCTGGGATCAGAAAATATCTGGAGGAGGATGGGTAGAGGAGGGCAGTGTAGGAGTCCCTTATTCATTGATTGAGTCAACATTCTAGGGGTTGGGTACACAAAGCCTCCTCTTCAAAGTCCTTACAAAACACATTCTGAAATCGCCATGTGGGTGGGGAATGGGGTAGGTAGGCATTAACAGAAAATAAATAAATAAAAATATGTAAGTTATATATTACAAAGTGGTAACTGCTGTAGAGAGACTTGAAGCAGGAAAGGATTGGGGAGTGTCGGGATGGTGCAGTTCTAAGTAGGCTGGCCCACATAGGCCTAACTAAAGTGACACTTGTACAGATTCAAAGGAATATAATCAGTTGATTAGTGCATCTTCATAAATAGACATGGGGGATTCTTTTATCCTCATGGAAGGGAGGAGTTCTTTCACTCCCCAGACTGAAAGCTTTGGCACGTGGGGTCTCCATAGCGCTAGCAGCAGGCCACTTCCAGAGGGGTGCAGTGCGGTGTTCATGTAGCTGGTCTCTGACCTGCTGCCTGGGCTAATCTGCAGATTGACTCAGTCTGTACACATCAGCTTCTGCCCAGTGAATAAAGGGAATGAACCTGATCAACACTTGCTTTTTCACAGTAGGAAGCTATACCATTGAGTCAGAATGTGTTGAATTTTATTACAACCTTGGCTTGAGGTACAGAATAATTTTTAATGAAAGCCTTGGTCAGATTTTCCATTGATGGGATGGAACAAATGATGTCTTAGGAGCATCTGTCAGACTTTGAGGCGCTCCAGGCAGTGTGAGTGAAATATTGTGGCATCCTGACTTCCAGAGACACCATCTCCCTGTGAGAGTCTGCTGAGATCCTGCCGAGACAGCTGGCCTGCTCTCATGCAGACACAGGCATGGATGCACACAACACACTTGGAGTGTCTTCTTCACACTCAGCTCTCTTTTGTGAGCATCCTTCTTCCTCTTCCCTGTCATGCCATCACCCACACCCCCATACCTTTCAGATTCTTGGTAGAAGCAAATATGGACACCATCTCCAAAGAGGTTAATCATACCCACTCTGTTCTTTTTTTTTGAGTCAGAGTCTCACTCTTTGTCGCCCAGGCTGGAGTGCAGTGGCACGCTCACAACCACCACAGCCTCAGCCTGCTGGGCTCAGGCAATTCTTCCACCTCAGCCTTCCAAGTTGCTGGAACTACAGGTGCGTGTCACCACACCTGGCTAATTTTATTTTTTAATTTATTGTAGAGTCAAGGTCTCACCAAGTTGCCCAGGCTGGTCTCAAACCCTTGAACTCAGGTAATCCTCTCGTCTCTGCCTCCAAAGTGCTGGGATTACAGGTGTGAACCACCATGCCTGGCCCACTCTGTTCTTTGACATATATTTTATAGCAGGGCCTGAGGAATGGTGATTGGTTTCACCATCTTAAGAAAAAAAAAAAAAAAAATATATATATATATATATACATACACACACACATATATATTTATTATTGTTATTATTATTATTTAAGAGACAGGGTCTCACTCTGTTGCCCAGACTGGAGTACACTGGCATGATTTTAGCTTGCTGCAGCCTCCAACTATTGGGCTCAAGTGATCCTCCCACCTCAGCCTTGCAAGGAACAAGGACTACAGACACATACCACCATGTCCAATAATTTTTAAAATTTTTTGTAGAGACAAGGTCTCACTATGTTACCCAGGCTAGTCCCAAACTCCTGGCCTCCAGGGATCCTCCTGCTTTGGATTCCTAAAGTGCTTGTATTACAGACATGAGCCACTGTGCCCAGCCTTGTTTTTAACATTCTTATGTGTGTGTTCTCTGATCTCAAGCTTCCTTTCAGGACATTTCCCCCCTATCCTACCCTGCTTAGCATGACAGCAGGCTCCAGCCAGTCTAGGCCAAATCCATGTTGGTCTTCTGCCTCCACTCCTTATGCTGGCCCCAAGAGCCGCCATGAGCCACCACATGAGCTGTTATTCACTGCATGCTCCCTCTGTGCACACACCTGTTCTCTTTACAATCGTATAAACTTGATAATATTCTTGAGTTCTACCAACAAACTGGATGCTCAGAGAGGCATGTATGCCCAAGGACACTAGTGAGTGACGAGACCAGGACCGAAGCCCCAGACTGTGTGATTCTTGAGCCTGTGCTCTTTCCATTGGACCACACTTCCTGGAATGTTCTCCTGCATCCCTGACCGTGGAGGTCCTACCTGTCACTCAGAACCCAGTGTGAATGCTCCCTGATCACCACAACCAGCAATCACCCCCTCTGCCCTCCAGCTACCTCCAGCATTGAGCAAATACAAGTCTCCCCTGAGAATACTACTTGGTACTTATAGTATTCAGTACACAGGGCATATCTCTCCAGCCACACTGTCTACTTATTGAGAAAAGTCTAGATCCTGTGTAACGCCATATCCTGCAAACTGCTTTGCACAGAGGAAATGTTAGCAAATATCTGACAAAGACATGAATGAACAAAATGCTAGCTCTTTTAAATAAATGATAATAATAGTATTAAGTGCGTATTATTTTCAGCTACTGTGCTAAATTACTTCTGTGGGATGTGTATGGGTTCATTTCTCAATCTCAGCCATGTGAAGTGGACACTGTCCTCATTCCACAACTAGGGACACTGTGGATGAGAGAGACCACTTCTCACCCAATGTCAGACATGGCCAGAAGCAACCAAGCCAGGAATCCAGCCCAAGTGATCTGACCTGAGCTTTTAACATCTGTACTGATATGTGCTTTTCCTTAATCCCGATTCTATTTGGGGAAAGGTCTAAAAAGGTAAACCCAAGGGTGCCTCAGGATAAATGACACATGCAAGTGATGTCTCTCTCTGGTGCCCAACGCCCCCTGCTTCTCTGTGTCCCTTTGCTCCTCTTCTGGCACCCCATGCTGGTGCCCTCTACTGTCCATCCCCAAGCTGGCATGGTGTTAACACAGGTGCCTCCACCCCTACTTTTCCCCTGCCTTCAGGACCCTTACTGATTTGTTCTCAAACTCCTCCAAGATGCCAAGGATGAGGGATGAGAATCAGCTGGTGCAGCATCAAACTCCAAGCCATGCAGCAGGTTGTTGCCCAGTCCTGGGAAGCAGGTTGTTGCCCAGTCCTGGGGGAGCTGGGGGTGACAGAGGCCAAGGGACAGCCTGCACTCCTGCTCAGGTACAGAAGATCCAGGTGTAGAGATGTGTTAGCTGCTCAAGCTAACAGCTCCTTTTGTCTTCCCAGGTGGTTTCATCAGTTTCAATGGCTCCTGGAGAGTGCAGGGGATCCTGGCCATGTCTCGGTCCCTGGGGGATTACCCACTGAAAAACCTCAACGTGGTCATCCCGGACCCAGACATCCTGACCTTTGACCTGGACAAGCTTCAGCCCGAGTTCATGATCTTGGCTTCAGACGGCCTCTGGGATGCCTTCAGCAACGAGGAAGCGGTCCGGTTCATCAAGGAGCGCCTGGATGAACCTCACTTCGGGGCCAAGAGCATAGTTCTGCAGTCGTTCTACAGAGGCTGCCCCGACAACATCACGGTCATGGTGGTGAAGTTCAGGAACAGCAGCAAGACAGAAGAGCAGTGAGCCTGTGGGGTCCCCACTGCCCTGGACCCAGGACCTCAACGCTGGTCTCCCCACGCAGTGAAGGGCGTGCGAGTTGTCATTAGGCTCATCCATCCCAGACTTGGAACCCCTCCTGGTGGTCTCGGGTCTCATCACAAGGAGCAGAGGGGGCTCTTGGTCCATGTAGCCGAGAGGCTGGCAAGTGGTTTCTTCATGTTTTCCCAACCCTTTCATCCACAATCTAGAAATAACTAGCTGTAGATCCCGTGTATGAGGTGAATAGCACATGTGCCATGTAGTCTCCCTCGTAAGATTCTTTTCGAGACCCCGTTGGGGTCCCCCTGTTATCCCTGTTGTGTCTTCTCTCTGGAACAGTGGGCAGGGCAGGCCATGGTGCCACCTGTGAGCAGCCAGGAGCTGACCGTCCCCCTTGGGGAGGAAGTGCCACCCTGAGCCCAGAAGCGGGTCTGCAGTGGCTTCTGATTCAGCAGCTGCTCCTGGAGACTGAGGGGGAGCAGAGAGGAGGGGACAGCCGCAGCAGCTCCCTGCACAGCAGCGGTGACCCCTGCCTCACCCCTTTATGAGTTAAGTGGGCTCTGTACCACCTGGCAGTCTTCTTGCATTGATCCTGACCACTCATGACCTTAACCTTTGGCTTAGACCTGACTGCGTGACAGGCAGCTGTTAACTTCACCAACAGACACCGTGATCTTTCATCTAAGACGACTAAGAAACCATGTTCACGGAAATGAGAAAAGCAAGTCACCATGCCATCATCCCTCTCCGCCCCCTGCCTTTTTGAGGGTAGGTGGAGGAGAGCAAGGCTGAGGGAGTCATAGCGCCCCCCAGAACAGGCTGTTTGCATGGGAGAGGAGAGACGGAGCTGGTGTGATCATCCCCGAGGAGCTGCAGCCGCCAGTTTCTGTGTGTTTTCCTTCCAAGTGTCTGTCGAGCAGTGTCCTGAGAAGCAGGGCCTGGAACTGCAGCCAGGCACAGAGTCTGGTGGCAACCAACAGGTTGCGCCCCTCCTTGGCTGTGGAAAGGCAGCCTTTAATGTCTGGTTGCAAGCCTCCGTCCACACCGGGGAGCTCTCCCCAGGCAGACACTGACCACCCTGTGCAGCCTGCAGGGAGCAGCACTGGGACACCTGGGGCACTGTGCGTGGTGGCAGCAAAGCCAGTCGGGATTCAAGCGTGACCCCACAGTGATGAGCAGCCCGTAGTCATCTGGGGCTTAGCTTTCTGCTCTCCGTTTCCTGTCACCAATGTCTCATTCCAACCTCAGTATCTTCTAAGTTAATTTAGAGAAAATGCTGGGTCACTCTCTGCCTGGCTAAGGTGGCTCCAAAGCCAGACAAGTTTTCCTTGCCCCCTGCCCGGCGTATCCACCTGGTTCTCTTCCTCCTGTGTGGGTATCTGTCATCAAAGCTTCTCAAAGGCCCCACACCCACTCCGTCCATCTCCTGCCTGCCCTCCACCCTCCCACAGCCATCGCGCCCTCCCGGAGCAGTTTCCAGGAGAGAAGGCAGAGCGTGAAGAGACTGCCTCGTGGCTGCAAGGACTGCAGGCGTCACGATGCCACAAGAACGCACCTTCCGCAACTGCACTGAGAATGACCAACGCTTTCCCAAGAGATCGGCTTACTTTTGTACACTGTATTGCCCAACATTAGAATTAGAGCCTTGGTTATTGTTTTTTTAGTCATAGAATGTTCTAGAACAAAATATCTGCCACCATTTCAATGTAAGCATTTGCCTAGGGAGAGACACTGGACATTTGGATGTGTGTATTTGGGGTGGGGACAGAGGAGGAATGTGGAAAACAAACCCTGCTGTGATCAGTGCTGGGCCGGCCTGGCCAGGTGACCGGCAAGTGCCACCACAGGCCACCACCAACTGAAGCCAGGAATAAACGGTGTCAGCATTTTACAGTCCACAGTCAATCTTCCCTTTTTATTTTTAACACAAAAATGTGTAATGACAAGGGAAAGACATTTTTAAATTTCACAATAATTTTTATTGTCTAAAATGAAAATAGTAATGCTTTGGTAAAGATGCAAAAGGAAAGCTACTACATTAGAAAACTGGTGTTTAGGTACCCTATATGGTTTCTTAATAGATTATGCTGAGTGCAGAGTTACAGAACTTGCTCTCTGAGGAGTTCACAAGGCATCTTCTGAATTTTGCTTTGTAGAATCCATTCATTTCTGACTTTAACAAAATAGAGAATATGTGTCCTGCTCCCTTTCTGCCTCTTTTCCCCCCACTACGGTGTGTAGATTTTCAGAAGACAGAATTTCTAGGCAAAATAGTAGCAGTTTGATTAATAGTTACAATAGTTATGTCGAAAATCAGAGTATTGGCTGGGTGCAGTGGCTCACGCCTATAATCCCAGCTCTTTGGGATGCTGAGGCAGGAGGATTGCTTGAGCCCAGGAGTTTGAGACCAGCCTAGGCAATAAAGCAAGACACTATCTTTACAAAAAAATTAGAAAATTAGCTGGGCGTGGTAGCGCACACCTATAGTTCCAGCTACTCCAGAGGCTGAGGCAAGAGTATCACTTGAGCCTGGGGGTTCTGGGTGAGCTATGATTATAACACTGTGCTCCAGCCTGGACAACATAGCAAGATTCTCTCTAGAAAATATAAAAAATAAATAAAATTAGAGTATTTTGTTCCCTTGCCCGTATCCTCCTGGCTCTCTCTCTCCCTGACCCTTTCTAGCTGTTGGGGTCTGCTGGGGGTGTCCCCAGGGGTGCCCTGTGGCACCCAGGGAGGTTGAATCTAGGTATTAGGGAATGGATCTGAGACATCTGCATGTGAAGCTTTCCTTAATAGCACTGCCAAAGCTTTGGAATTGTTACCCAAGGCTGCCCGGACTCCCTAGCCAGCCTGAGTTCCAATTGCCAATAGTCCCCACAGTGCCAAATGGTGGATGGTCTCACAGTCTTAGACATGAAGCTGGGAATGACTGACCACGTGCTGTGAGCTCCAGCAAGATGCCAAGCCCAGGTCCTGATGCCTGTTCTCCTGTGCCGCGCAGGCCATGTGTGCTATCAACACCGACGGGGGCACAGGAAGGGCAGCCAGGGAACTTTTAAAAAATGCATTGTATTTGCAATTCTTTCCTCATAGGAATAAACAATCACATAAAAAGCTCCAAAGCTACTTTCCAAAACCTGCATTTATTTTCTGTGACCTGCTTGCCCAAGGCAGTCAACTCTGAATGGCTATTCTAATGTGACATTCTTGTGTGTGTATGTGCATAGTGCTGGGGACCAGAGGCTGCATTCTGGTCTTGTTGTGGATTGACGTACTGGGCTCTTGAAACCTACATGTGTCATAAGAGCGTTACACAGAGAGTGTTACATGGAAGGAGGATGGGTGAGCTGGATCATTCAAAACAGGCCTGATTTCTTACAAGTGTAATCACTTCAGCATGTTGTGCAAATGACAGACAGGATTGCATGAGCTTGATGGCAACAGCATTTCAATCCAATCAGAAGTGACTCTAGGAAACTGATTACCCTGTTGGATTTGGTCATTGGGGTACCTGGAAATACACGAACGATTCACAGGTGGAGTGACCACGTTTCCTTTGCCAGGTGTACCTTGATTTTCCTGGGGATTTTTTTTTCTGAGTTGTAGCCAGGTTTCTCCTGATACCATGTCAGTAAAAGTTCTGCACTTAGGAAGGGCAGCATTTCATTGTACACTGGAAAGTATAGGAATACATGCTTTGTGTATAATTTTTTTCCTAGCTATTTCAGAAATTATTTTTGTGTCCTTTCTACTCATCATTAAACTGATATTTCCTTAATATTTTCCTCAAATGGCCTTAACACATCACACCAGCATTCCTGGGCTGACTTGGGCAAAATGACGTGACTGTTAGAGGCCAAGCCTACTTAATTGCTTCTGGATTAAATCTGTGATGTCTGGGCTTTTGAGCTTAGTAGCTGCTTGCTACCGGAATCCAGTGTTCCCCAAAGTGTGTTCCAACGAATACAAGCTCCAAAGATGCGCTTCCAGATATAGGGTCCCTGAGTCAAATAAGTTTGGGAAACACATGCTATCTTAGCTAGTGCATCTGAGCACACCAAAGGCTCTAGTTTACACGTCCTGCAGGGGAGGGAAAAACACCACACAGGTATTGTCAGTTAACCCAGTGTTTTCCGGATTAATCTGACCATGGAGTCTTTTTTTAAGTAACACCTAGTAACACTTCAGGGCACTTGTCTGCAGAACACACTTGGGAAATTCTGGTAGATTGAACTATTGCTGTTTTTCACTCACCATGACTCTTAGTAGCAGCAGTACAATTTGCCATTTAGACACTAATCCTTTCACACAAGAGGCTGACTTGTTAATAAAAGTGGTGTGAAGAAGAGTGTGATGAAATGTGACCACAGCAGCCTCAGTTGTTGGCAGAAGTCCCGCAGTTCTACTAGAAGCGCTACACTCCGTCTCCTCCTTTCATGGGAATAACAGGCAAAAGCTTTGCCACAGTGGTGCATTTCTCAGATTCATTCCAAGACTTTCAGTTGCTTTCTGGATTGAATCAAAATAAGTATTTTTACACTTCATCACAACGTGATAGTAGAAAATAATAGAAAAGGAAGAAGGTACATTTTGTTTTAGTTCATTTTTGACATTTTAAACTAGATTTAAAAAAATTAGTTATCCTTAATTAAAGTCATAGTCAGAATGTAAACTCTTCACACTTTCTTTCCTCTATTCTCTCCAGATTCAATAGATTAATTTGAAATCAGTTAGAGCTAGTATATTCTAAAAATTCCTGTCCTACACTGGGCAACGTACATTCCGTCTCTACAAAAATTTAAAAAAAAAATATTAGCCAGGCATGGTGGTACACTCCTGGTCCCAGTTACTCAGGAGGCTGAGGTAGGAAGATCGCCTGAGCCCAAGAATTCATGGCTGCGGTGAGCTATGATCCTATCTCTAAAAAAATAAATATATACATACAATAAACTTCCTGCCCCGTGCCATCCCACCTTTCATATCTTATGTACATAGTAAAGTTTGATAGTTATCTCTTGCCTATGATATGAGGCTTGACCATAGTTCCATAATTGTCATTCTCACCAGGGCAGTGTGGGAAACCAGGAGAGATGACCCCAAAATAATGGATGAAGCAAGTCTAATGGGAAACATGGTACAGAGTGAATTTAGTGTAAAGTTATTAAATCAAAATTACATCCACTATTTAGGAATAACTCACCCTCTGGATGTTATCCAAAATGGTAAAAAGCTAAAAGTGAGATGTCTTAGGTGAGGTGGCAGATCACAGAGGCCAGAGACAGTTGAAGCCCCAGGGTGTCCATGTGTTTCTAAACATGTTTCTAATATGTACATTTCTTGCTGATTCCTAGTAATATTGATGCTTTGTTCATTATTTGTTATTTTTACCACTGTTAAGCTGTAAACTGTTAAACCAAGGGTTGACTATGGACATTTTTATGTATTTAGTATTAACCACGCCATCATCTGTACAACTGCATTAATAAATCCAAGTTAAGGACTTTGAGGAGAGCATGTAGTAACTATTTATTTTAACAAATCATCACAGACATTTTTACTCTTCAAAGCTCCACCAAAAAGCAAGCATGCAGCCAAGGTACAGATTATACTGTGATGTGGCTTCATTTATTCTAGAAGTGCTATATTCTGGCATTTTTTTAACCACAAAAATTCCATCTAACATTTGCCAAATTCAAATTAATTTCAAAAACTTCCAAGGACACTGAGCGCATGTGGATTCCCGCGAAGGCTCTGGTGAGAGATTGTGGTGGGGGTGGGGGCTGGGGTGCGAATGGGGCAGGGGTAGGGTTGGGGGTTGGTGCAGGGCGTGAAGATCTGCCTGGGTGGGAAAGGGGCAGAGTCAGCCACACGCTCTCATCACCTTTTGCCAGGAGGCAATTCAGAAGTGAAATATGGTTTCAAGCATTATCTCAAAGTATCTCTATTCTAACTAAATAATTCATCATTTAAAATGTGTTCATGCAGAAGCAAAGGTAGAAGTAACAGTCAAGAATCGGAGGAAAAAACCCGTTAGGATACTCAGATATTAAAAATGTAAAAAGGCCGGGTGTGGTGGCTCAAGTGCAAATCCCAGCACCTTGGAAGGCCAAGGTGAGGAAATTGCCTAAACCCACAGCTTCGAGAACGGCTTGTGCAACTTGGCGAGACCTCATCTCTACAATAAATAAAAAAATTAGCTGGGCATGGTAGTGCACACCTGTAGTTCCTTCCGGCTACTTGGAAGGCCGAGGCAGAAGGATTGCAGGAGCCCAGCAGGTCAATGCTGGGGTGGCCATGAGTGTGTCACTGCACTCAAACCTGGGCAACGGAGTGAGACTCCAACTCAAAAAAAAAAAAAAAAGTAAAAAGTCGCTCTTCAGAAATGTGAGTTCAGTCCTTTACTGTACATAAGTTGTACTTATAGTGATTTCTGACACTTGCATATAGAACAACAGAAGGTAGTTTTTACCACTTTTCACCATTCAAAAACTAGGTTTCCCTTTTAGACCATTAGCTAAAGCTTTGCTTATGTGTTC